TGATTCTTTTTTAAGTTGGAGTATGCTCCTAGTGACAGCCTAGTCATCATAGAGAATTGTGACTTTCCCACCTTTAAAGGAATTAAAAAAAAAAAGTATGTTATGTAAGTTTAAAGTTTTTCACTACTGAGGTGACCTGGAGTCGTCGAAGGGTCTGCAGACACTGACCAATCCTCATCTTCAACTCTCATTAGCTGCCATTGTTCCGGGCATCTTGGTAAATGAGGAAGGGGCAGCATTTATTCTGCAACCCCTTTTATAGAATACAGCATCATATTACTCAGCATTACTCGGCATCATCAAAGATAGACCCTGCTGAGATCTGATGGAAGAGATATGGAGGAACGTGATTTAGCCAGTTAGTTGCTTAAGGATGGGAGATAATGTTTTATTCTGTGGGTGCCGTAATTCCCACATTGCCCAAACAACTCCTTGGATAAGCCATGCACATTTACAATCATCCCTATATGAATTTGATGTCATGAAACGCAAAACGTTTGAGGCAAGAAACCAAAAATTTGCGCTGTGGTATTTATTTATTTCCAGGTATGTGCTGGCAAAGGTTAGTTAGAGACACATATATCAAAGGATGAGACACTTTTTAGTATAAGTGCTTTCACAGTGAACTGTCTTGATTAATAAGTTTTTTTTAATCTAAAAAACATTTGTCACTGAATGAATGGCATATTAATGGCCTATATTTTATTCAAACACTTGCAGTAAAATAATTAAGTATTAATCGCGGCAGACTAATGTAGCAATTTAGATAACAGATTAATTGTGCTTATTAAAATGCTAAGACTTATCAAACCTATGTTTGGATGCCATAACATGCACATAAAATGATCAAAGTTATTCACTTGGCCTTATCAACCTTGAAGTTTGATTTAAACAAATGTAAACTAGGCTACATATGCTGAAACTTCAAGCCCAGAGCAGGCTTTTTTTATTCAGGACTTGATTGGTTTAATGAAGCACTTGAAGGTGTAGAAAAATTGCAATATGTGTTAATTTAATATGCTTTGTAAAACTACTTTATATGTGTAGCATGTGAATAGTGTTTAAATTACGTCATCCATCCATTACCGACACCCCTCATTCCTAGTAGGGTCTCGGGTGGGATGGAGGTGGAGTTCACCCTGAACAGATCACTAGTCTATTGCAAGGCCACCCATAGACAAACAACCATACACACTTATATTCACATCTGGGGACAATTTAGAGGCTTCAATTAACTTAACATGCATATATTTGGGTAGTCAGAGGATGCAGGAATGGTTACAGGATCCCACAGGGGGAACATGAAAATTCTGCAGAGAAAAGTCCCCAATTCCCCTGTGGAATCAAACCAGGAACCCTCTTGCTATGAGGCAACTGTGCTAACCAGCACACCACCATGCCACCTCTGACACACTTCAATGATACGTTAACGTTATGTGAAAGCCGGCAAAGGTGTGAGTGTGCCTGTGCAGATGTCTGCACTGAGCTGATAGAGCTCTCAGCTTGAACCCGTGACAGAACAGCAAAAACAACCCCGGAATTTTGATGTTAGAGAAAACTCACATACAGGGCCTACATTTTAAAGGGTCTTCCCATGCTTTTCCTTTTCCCGGCTGACTTTCTTTATTATCCTACATTCTGTTCTCTTATTAAAAGAGGAAGCTCCGCTTCAAAGAACTTCCTGATCTTTTAATGGTGGAAAACTGCACCAACAGACCAGCAGGTATGGCTCAACATGTTTTGCATTATCAGTCTGAATCAGAAAGAGTATCGGCAGTATTACAAGACGGTGAGATGAAAACCATGTGTTCAGAGAGTCAGTTTGTTTGAAATGCATAAGGGAAAAGCAGGTTCAATTTTATTGGAGCGGCAGCTTCACCTGAGTAGTATTTAAATTCCACAGCTGTTTCGAAAAGCCTTTCATGGTCTATGAATCAAGCTACATGCCAAAACAACCTTATAAAGTAGATGAGATTGAATGTGGAAAATCCTGATTCTTTAAC